TATTCTGGTATATCGATTCCATTATGTTCATTTCATTATTGTATCAGAGAAGCAGAATAACCGTTTTCATTTTCTCTCATCTTTCTCTCTCTACATTGGCTTTCTCTCTCTCGGTGATTTTCATTTGCTTCTTCTCTATCGTCTGATAGTTTCTTAAAAAAAAATCGCGATTTTTTTTCTTATTGCAATATTGAAATTTTTAACGTTCATCAAACGGGCACACGTACGGTTGATCGCTTTATTAAAATACACGTAGGAATAATATCAAGAAATTCGGGATTATGTTTATCCTAACTTGAGAATAACATAATTAAACCATTATTTGACGCCATATCTCAAGATTTGGGGAATGGATTTGTCAGTTTATAGAAATAAGATCCGTATGTGTTATGTTTAATGGAAATATTATATTATATTATATTATATATTGTTTAATCATATGATTAATCGCTTATAATATAGATATAGAAAAGCTCTAATCTCGACGTTAATCTCTTAAATAAGTCTCCATGCCATGTTTTTAGGTGACATCTTCTTGTCTGCAGCATTGGTGTGTTTTTATGATCGGTAGAGTTTTGAATAACTAATACTATATATATATATATATATATATATATATATATATATCCCATCATCGAAAAAAAACTTATACTCGATCAAAAAAAATTATTTTTTTATTACAAAAAAATTATATACTTATACTTATTCGCCGAAATATACATGTACTGTTTAGATGTTATTCACAAAAATCTTGTACTTTTTTATAATCAAACAAACCCTATACTTATACTTATTCGCCGAAATATACATGTACTTTATAAATTCTAGCAAATAAACTCCAAAACGCGAAAACAAAAAAAAATACGATAAAAAATATGTCCGAATCTAATCCAACCGATATATACCAGAACCGAATCGAACTGATTAAAATAATATATCATATTGGATATGAATATTTCAAATCTAATATAACCGAACCGAACCCGACCGATATATACCTGAACCGAATCAAATCGATTAAAATAATATACCAGATTGGATATGAATATTTCAAATTCGAGTGAATCCAATATCATTATATTGATTTTTATAATTAAATTTAGAATATATACTAATTGATGATATATAGATAGATAAACAGTTATATTCGGTTATGGTTAATTCGAGTTCCGTTTATTCGTTTTACAATTCGGATCGGTTATTTCGGGTTTTGGATTTGAAATATTCATATCCAATTCGGTATATTATTTTAATCGGTTCGATTCGGTTCAGATATATATCGGTTGGATTAGGTTGAGACAAATTTTTTTTCGCATTTTTTTTTTTGTATTTAGAGGCTTATTTATTAGAATTTATAATACATGTATATTTCGGCGAATAAGTATAAGTATAGAGTTTGTTTAGTAATAAAAAAAATACATAGTTTTTTTGAATGACATGTGAAGAGTACACGTATATTTTTGCGAATAAGTATAGTGTTTTTTTTTAAAATAAAAAAGTACAAGATTTTTGTCGATATCGGAAGATGATTTAAATGGAAAGCCAAAGAATATTTTTTTGTTAAATATGGAGAGTTTTTGTACTCTTGCACAAATCCAAGCTTGGAAGCTTTTAGTACAAATAAAGAAAACGATCTTTCAAATTTTGCTTAATAAACCAACAATTACGGAAGAGTACTGAGTTTTTTTGATGATTTGTCATAATAATAATAAATATCCATCATAGTTCTATTTATTTTTTTTCCGTTTGCAACACATGCAATTATGGATTATCGAATATATGTGTTGACATATTAGTTATTTTCTGTTTTTTTAAAATGATATACATTGGATTTAGATTGGATTTTGTACTGATTTTAATTCAATTTTCACTTAGAACAAAAATTTTATTGAAAAACGGCCTCCTTACATCTTTCTGTTGATTTTAATATTTATTTTGAGTTCAACTGAGTTTTAGATAGTTTAGTTTCATATCCATTGGATCGGATTTATTTCGAAGTATAAGATATTGCATTTTATGTTATTTCATATACCAAAATTGAAATGACGACATAAACAAATGCTTAAGCTTTTTAATTAACACTGTGCATACAGTTTGTTGCTGGATTTTGTCATCCAGTGGTGAAATTTCTCATCAAAATTGTCGGATATCATTATTCCATGAAATATTTATTCTAGGTGATTATAGGGTTTGACTGCACGAATGGGAAATAATAGTAATTAACACCCAAAAAAATAATAGGAAATAAATTATAAATAAAGCAAAAATTGTAAAATATATTTTTGTGTGTGTATATATATATATATATATATATATATTGGCGACATATAAAGGGACAATGTTAGTGTAATGTGGCGAATTAAACTAATGTTGGTTCATCTAAATGTTCGACCCGTTTGGTACATATTTTCTGTTTCCCCCAAGATTTAAGGTTCCGCTGTCACTTGTGCCTCCTACACCTTATATTATCTTATTAATTTCATTCAATATACAGTTTTTGACTGATAGGACTGTCGTTGAATTATATATTATTATATTTTATAGTTGTGTGGAAAATTTCATTCCGACTATAATAAACTTATTCTGGTCATCATGCATCTTAATTAGCGTTTTAATGTATACGATTTTCCTCAATATTTAACGTATATATGCGTCAAATTTCATATAAAAAAAATTTCATAATATACCAAAAAAAAAATTCATATAAAAATATTGATACTATAATGTTTTTTTTTCGTGAATGTACATAACTTTTTGATCGTTTATATCTGCCGTAAAAGCATAATAATTATCGATAATTTATCTAACATAATAATCCGAAGTGATATATTTCTTTTTTTAGTTGCATTCATTTTCGTGTGTGTGTGTATATATATAATATAATATATATATATATATGGGTGTCTATACATCAGCACAATAATATTTGGCCCTCGTTATATATTTTATTGCGTAAATTAAAGAAGAGCGTGGCGTTACTAACTTTCGAAGGGAACGGCGCGTAGGGCCCACGCGATGAATGATGGCGTTCATTTTTTCTTTCCGGGACGGTTACATTGTTGGCTATTCTGCACACGTGTCATTCTCTTATTTGTACACATGGTCCTTTTTTGTCTTCGGTTCTAATAGGCTCTCTCCCGGTTTAGTTCGATTCATCGCCGCCTTTAAAACGGACTATGCCTAAATTATGAACCGGTTTAGATTCGGCCTCTTAGATTTTACTCCTATTCTCCATTTCGAAATACTCTATGAGGGAATCAAATATAATCCGTGTAATTGTTGAATATTTTGGTCATTATAGTATATATTCACTAGAATATTCTATTTCTTTTCTCACACAAGATGTTTATATAGCCCACACATGCATGCAAGGTGGTATGCAGCGTGAACCGGTATCATGAACCGGGTTCGAAATTTTTTAGGGGAAGCTGCATTTACAAAGGTAATAATCAAGAAAGTTCAAAGTATATAATTTGAAAAAAAAAGAATGTAAAATTGAATACTTATAATTAAGTGAATTTAGATAGAATACCACTTTATAATCAATTTGACGAAAAATACCAAAAATGGGAATATATAATTTAACATAGCTAATGCTAATTCAATACTGTATAATACAAGTGGGCAACCGAGTCATTCTCGATTAAGCACATTCTTGTGCTTGTTTAACATTTACATAAAAGGTAATTTATTAAATTGTATATATGTGTGTATATATGTATGTTGCAAAAAAAAAAAGTATCAGTATATATACATACGTACATATATAAATACATGCGTGTATATATATATATATGTATGCGTGTGTGTATATATGTATGTGTTATTGGAAAATGGAGTCATTTTGAACGCACTTGAAAGAGATGGAGAGTTAGAGAAGCTGGCGTCTTTTAACCTCCACGCAGCTTAAAATTAGAATACGATATCGCTTTCAAAGACGAGAGAGATAACGCACCGTTTGATGCGTTTTATATTGGTTTATGCACGTCTAAGCAACCGAACGACACCGTTTTGCCCCCACACATTTTCTAACATGCTTATATATGTGTGTATATATATAACTCCATGGGAGCTTATCTAAGGAAATAAAAATAAAAATAATAATAATTATAATCGTAATAATTGTTATTGTTAGTAGTCTCTTACTCTTATGTATCAATGTAAAAACGCAAAAATAAATGGGTGTCCTCTTCATTATACACCGAAAAGATCACGATAGCCCGTAATCTCAGTTGTATTGATGAATTTAGGATTTCCATACATATATATATATATATACAGTGGCGGATTTAGAAAATTATTCAACAGGGGGCAAACATAATTTTTTCTATTATAAATGGGGGCATTTCTAATTTTATTTGCAAATTTGTAAAAATTTACATAGAAAAATACAGTTTTTAATTAAACTAATGGGGGCCTTTGCCCCCATTGCCCTTAACGTGCATCCGCCACTGTATATATATATATATATATGTATGTGTGTGTGTGTGTATAGTACCATAGAATTATTATCATTGTAGTTTTATTATAGAACTACTTAATTCATGTTGCTTAGTTATTGCTTCGTGTATATATATGTATTTGTTTATTTCAGAAAATAGATACTTTTAATGATACGGAATAAAGAATAATTAAGCATATCCAATTAACCAAAAATAATAACAATTAAGCATATCGCTATATATACGAGCGACTCACGTGTAAACTCATAGCAAAAGCATCCCCACTTAGACTTTAGAGAGAGGGAGAGAAGCATGAACTTCTCTTTTTCTGGTAAAATAAAATTTCACGAGATGTTCGATATAATAAAAGGATGCATGGATTTTCTTTAATTTCCTTTTATTTACATATGCATATATACTTAATATATATGGATATCTACATACATACATACATACATATATATATATATATATGAGAGAGAGAGAGAGAGAGAGAGAGAATAATTGAAGAGGCTTATCGCATGTTTGCTTCACGCAAACAGCTTAATATGAGAGAGAGAGAGAGAGAGAGAGAGAGAGATCGTTTATTTTTTTGGGGCTTTGTCGCGTGGCTTTAAAGACCCTCCTTCCATATTTCCATTTCATTATTCTTACCAAACCCTAGCTCGTCTCCACACCCATTCCTAATCCCTCAGCTCCTCTTCAAGAACCTAGAATAAAATCCATAATCTCAAGGGCCAAAATAAACCCTAATACCGCTTTCCCCATATCCCTTTTTCTTTTTGTTTGGTAATTAAACTTTCCTCATGAGCGGCGGAGGAAGCAGCAGCGAAGGAAACGGGCCATGCGGGGCATGCAAGTTTCTAAGGAGGAAGTGCGTCCCCGGCTGCATATTCGCGCCGTACTTCGACTCGGAGCAAGGCGCCACTTACTTCGCCGCGGTTCACAAGGTCTTTGGCGCAAGCAATGTCTCGAAGCTTCTCCTCCAAATCCCCGTTCATAAGCGGTCCGACGCGGTCATAACCATCTCCTACGAGGCTCACGCTCGGCTCAGGGACCCTGTCTATGGCTGCGTCGCTCAAATCTTCGCTCTTCAGCAGCAGGTACGTTCCGTACGTATACGACCCTTTTCTTCTTTACACCGTTCAAGTGTATTCTCTGAAAATTCTGATATCGTTTGATAGAATTCGTATGGCAACATAACCGGTGAATTGGTACTTTACTTAATTTATATGCATGCACGATCCTATCTTTTGCGTTTTTAGCATCCGTTTTTGGTCAAATTCATTAGAAACGGTCCAATCTTTGGATCATCCTCCTTTTCTTTTTATGGGAACTCGCCGTTTTCTGTTTCTCGATCATATAATATTCGTAGGGCCGTTTTGAAACTTTAGTTCTTACAACTCTCGGTCTTGTTTTCGGTCAATTCCCGAGCTTTCTCGGTTTATATTCTAGTAGTTTTTCTTCCGGATAAAAAAAACAAAATTGAGGATGTTTTTATACTGAAACCTAAAGGCGTTCTACATGGTCTTGTACAAGTCGCAGTACATATAAGTATGGAGTTTTGCTGGTTTTAGGGAGATGGTCGGTTCAAGTGCTCTCTCGCCGATATACATACATATATATATATATATATATATATATATATATATATATATTTCTTATATTTTTTTTTCTTTTTTTTTTTTGTGGGGGAGAATTAATTTTTGCATATTGTAAATCCTTTAAGCGGTCCGACGCGGTCATAACCATCTCCTACGAGGCTCACGCTCGGCTCAGGGACCCTGTCTATGGCTGCGTCGCTCAAATCTTCGCTCTTCAGCAGCAGGTACGTTCCGTACGTATACGACCCTTTTCTTCTTTACACCGTTCAAGTGTATTCTCTGAAAATTCTGATATCGTTTGATAGAATTCGTATGGCAACATAACCGGTGAATTGGTACTTTACTTAATTTATATGCATGCACGATCCTATCTTTTGCGTTTTTAGCATCCGTTTTTGGTCAAATTCATTAGAAACGGTCCAATCTTTGGATCATCCTCCTTTTCTTTTTATGGGAACTCGCCGTTTTCTGTTTCTCGATCATATAATATTCGTAGGGCCGTTTTGAAACTTTAGTTCTTACAACTCTCGGTCTTGTTTTCGGTCAATTCCCGAGCTTTCTCGGTTTATATTCTAGTAGTTTTTCTTCCGGATAAAAAAAACAAAATTGAGGATGTTTTTATACTGAAACCTAAAGGCGTTCTACATGGTCTTGTACAAGTCGCAGTACATATAAGTATGGAGTTTTGCTGGTTTTAGGGAGATGGTCGGTTCAAGTGCTCTCTCGCCGATATACATACATATATATATATATATATATATATATATATATATATATATTTCTTATATTTTTTTTTCTTTTTTTTTTTCGTGGGGTAGAATTAATTGTTGCATATTGTAAATCCTTGAGAATTTCCCCATTTGCATTCTAACAATTGAATGGAGCGAATTAATATGGTGAGATGTTGTATATGTATCTATATATATGGTACGTAGTTTTTAAGATAAGGTGTGGGGGGCACAAATCTTCTAGCATTAGACTTAGTTGTGTAAAACATTAGTAAGAATCTTGGATATGTGAACAATAATAATGGCATGCATTAATATCAATTGGATCAATAAAGCTTATCAGTGTGAAAAATACGGAATGCAGTAAAAAGTTTTAGATCCGGTAATAATGGCATCGCGTTAAATTGCACCACGAGGGAGATTCTTTGTTATTTTTCTCAAAACCTCTGAAACATCTGTTGTAATTTTGAAAGTGCACACATAAAAATATTATGTACATTTATATTTGATTATATGTTCATCAAACAATTGATATATATATATATATATATGTTAATTAGCAGCTGTCCTATATATATATATGGCATGATTTAAATGGAAAGCCAAAGAATATTTTTTTGTTAAATATGGAGAGTTTTTGTACTCTTGCACAAATCCAAGCTTGGAAGCTTTTAGTACAAATAAAGAAAACGATCTTTCAAATTTTGCTTAATAAACCAACAATTATTGGTTACCTTATACCTATAACGATAGTAATTATTATGATTTTCAGGTTTGTTAATTTTCCATATATCGACACCAATTTAAATTGCCTGTCTTTTTCGACCCACACTCATTTTTATTACTAATCTATATTCATGTTCATACGTTTGTGATCGTGGCATTTAATTGCGTACGTTATGTAATGATGTGTGCATTTTAAACTCTCCGTATGAACGTAGGTGGTGAATCTACAGACAGAACTGTCTTTCTTACAAGCCCATTTGGCAACACTAGAGCCACCGCAGCTGCGACCGCCGCCGCCACCGCCTCCGGTTGTGGTTCCTCCGCCGCTTACGATCTCCGACTTGCCGGTGTTCTCGGCCTCTCCACCGACGACGTACGATCTGTCTTCCTTTTTTGATCCGACGGCTCTGAGGACTCCCTCGTCGTCGTCGTCGTGGGCCAACATGCAGCGGAGAATCGTCGATCCACGTCAGCAATACGGCGCCGTATCGTCTTCGTCGGGAAATGAGCTTCAGACGTTGGCTCATGAGCTCTTCCAACGACACGTGTCTCCTCCTCCCCCACCACCGCCTCCGGCCACCGACGGCTCCCCCTCTCGCTCGATGTCTAGATGATATATATATATATATATTTCTTCCTCTTGTTATTAGGAACATATACTATATTAAATGCGATTAATTTCCTATGAAAGCGTATTAAGTAAATTATCTAACATTAACATTGTATCACATTTACCAAAAAAAAAAAACATTGTATCACTTGAGTATGAGTATATGAGTTGGCCCAACTAACGAGGCCTAAATGATACCATGGGCCTTATCTTTTGAAGGTTCAGACCCAAAAGATATTCGAACTATGTTGTGGTTAATCTTAATCATGATTACTTTGTCGCTAATCATCATTTATTTCGAATGTTTAAAGTTACTACTTTTTGATCGTATGGTTTAGGAAAGTCAGTTCACTAGACCGGGAAACAGGCAACGTATATCCCGGCGGTCAACAGGTCAGTGACGCCGTGAGGGTTAAATGTCCAAAATGTTCATCTCAGTTCGCTAGAATTACAATTTAGCCAACAGTAATCCAGTGTCAACGGAGGGGTATTTCAGTCATCTGGTATCTGACTGGAGAAATTTCATGGCGAGCAAATGAAAAATCATAATTTCGATGCGATCTGAAATTTCGGTTCTCTCCCTCCGTACTCTTCGTCATCTTCATACGCGCGCTGCGAGTCGGATTCATCGGGGCTGAGTCAACTCGCGCCGTGGATCGGACGTCGAGCTCCGAGGAAATCGGCGGTTGAGGCTTTTACCGGTGACCTTCTCCTTCCTCCGTCTTTCTTTTCCTGGTTCTAGATCTGTATCTCTTGAGTTGTTGAGCTTGTCGTGACTTGGGAATGGCTTCCTCGGAAGTCGATTCCCGATTGAGCCGAGTCGTAACACCAGCCTTAGAGAAGATCGTCAAGAACGCGTCGTGGAGGAAGCACTCGAAGCTCGCCCAGGAATGCAAATCCGTCCTCGAGCGGCTTAATTCGCCGCAGAAGCCGCCTCAGTCGTCCTCCGCGGATTCCGAGTCCGATTCCTCAGTTCCTGGTCCGCTTAAAGACGTTGGTACCGTCGAGTACTCGTTGGCTGAGTCGGAATTCATCCTCAGCCCTCTGATCAACGCCTGTGGTACTGAACTCGTTAAGATCATCGACCCTGCCATCGATTGCGTACAGAAACTCATCGCGCATGGCTACATTCGTGGCGAAGCGGACCCCTCCGGCGGAGCCGATGCCCTTCTCCTCTGCAAATTGATCGAATCCGTTTGCAAATGCCATGATTTAGGAGACGACGCTATTGAATTACTCGTGTTGAAGACTCTCTTATCGGCGGTTACGTCTACGTCGCTGAGGATTCACGGCGATTGCCTGCTCCAGATTGTACGGGCTTGCTATGACATTTACTTGGGAAGTAAGAACGTGGTAAATCAGACGACTGCGAAGGCGTCGCTGATCCAGATGTTGGTGATAGTATTCCGAAGAATGGAGGCGGATTCGTCAACGATTCCAATTCAGCCGATCGTAGTAGCCGAGCTGATGGAGCCCATCGAGAAATCGGATGCCGACGGGTCGATGACGCAGTTTGTCCAGGGTTTCATCACCAAAATCACGCAGGACATCGATGGCGTCTTGAATCCTACAATGCCAGGCAAGAGTTCATCGAGTGGTCACAACGGGGCATTTCAGACAACCACAGTGGAGGCCACAAATCCGACAGACTTGTTAGACTCCACTGATAAGGACATGTTGGACGCTAAGTATTGGGAGATTAGTATGTATAAGTCAGCTCTCGAGGGAAGGAAAGGGGAACTGGTGGATGGGGAAGCTGAGAGAGATGATGATGCCGAGATTCAGATCGAGAATAAGCTACGGAGAGATGCCTTCTTGGTTTTCAGGGCACTTTGTAAGCTCTCCATGAAAACGCCTCCAAAGGATGCATCAGCGGACCCGCAGCCGATGAGAGCAAAGATTCTAGCCCTTGAGCTATTGAAAATTTTGTTGGAGAATGCTGGAGCTGTCTTTAGGACAAGCGAGAGGTTCGTTCCTCTTATCTTTTAATTGAATACATACTTATATTTTCTCAAGTTTAAATTTTTAGTTTGGCAGATGGTAGCTGGTTATGTGTTGTGAGTGTTTTATAGTTTAGGGAATAATTCATTTTTGAGAGTTTTAACCTGAACCATCATATATAGAGAGTTTTAACATACATTATCTGAAATCTTCTTTGGGTCTTACAGAATCTTGCTTCGCTACTATTGAAGTATATTATTCTGTTTTAACAAAAAAAAGTATATTATTCTGTTGATTGATTGTTGTCTATGTTGAACAGGTTTTTAGGTGCTATCAAGCAGTATTTGTGTTTGTCTTTATTGAAGAACAGCGCTTCTACTCTTATGATCATCTTCCAGCTTTCTTGCTCTATCTTCATCAGTCTGGTTGCTAGATTCCATGCTGGATTAAAGGCGGAAATTGGGGTTTTTTTCCCCATGATTGTTCTCAGGGTCTTGGAAAATGTTGCACAACCCAATTTTCAACAGAAGATTATAGTTCTTAGGTTTCTTGACAAGCTCTGTTTGGATTCACAAATCCTGGTTGATATATTCCTTAACTACGATTGTGATGTCAATTCGTCCAATATTTTTGAGAGGTATGTTGTACTCCCTGATCTTTTACTGCTCTGTTTTGTGAGTTCTAATGAGTTGAAAGTTCTTTTGGTAATTTACATCGTATTTATATTGATCATGTCTAGGATGGTCAATGGTCTCCTTAAAACTGCTCAGGGTGTGCCTCCTGGCATAGCTACAAATTTGTTGCCACCTCAGGAGGTAACCATGAAACTTGAAGCCATGAAATGCTTAGTAGCAATTTTGAAGTCGATGGGAGACTGGGTGAATAAGCAATTGCGCTTACCAGATCCTAATTCTGCGAGTATACCTGAAACATTTGACAACAGTTCTGAACCTGGGAGTCCTAAATTGGCAAATGGTAATGCGGATGAGTCTGTTGAAGGATCAGATTCTCCTTCTGAAACATCAGGTGAGACATCTGATGCTTCAGCCATCGGACAGCGCCGTGCTTACAAGCTTGAACTTCAGGTAAGATTGTAAATGATGTTTTGGTTTAAGCAGATCTGTTGCGGAGAGTGATTGTTTAAACTTGTTTTGTGGCTGTAAAGTTCTAATATAATGTCTGTGGCAGGAGGGTATTTCACTTTTTAACCGTAAGCCAAAGAAAGGGATTGAATTTCTTATCAAAGCAAACAAGGTGGGTGACTCTCCTGAGGAGATAGCTGCTTTTCTCAAAGACGCATCAGGGTTAAATAAAACTTTGATTGGTGATTATTTGGGAGAAAGGGAAGAGTTATCACTTAAGGTGATGCATGCCTATGTAGATTCTTTTGATTTTCAAGGCATGGAATTTGATGAGGCTATCAGAACCTTTATTCGAGGCTTTAGGTTGCCGGGAGAGGCGCAAAAGATTGACCGGATCATGGAAAAATTTGCTGAACGGTACTGCAAATGTAATCCACAGGTTTTTAGTAGTGCAGACACAGCCTATGTTCTCGCGTATTCTGTGATTCTGCTGAACACTGATGCACACAATGCCATGGTGAAGAACAAGGTTTGTTGTGGTCATTGTTATGAATAGATGCTGTTATAGTGTAAAATGTGGTGGTAGTTTTCTTTGCAGAACAATTAAGGTACAACGTTAATGATTTTTTTTTGCTGTTTTTCATATAGATGTCGGCTGATGACTTTGTCAGAAACAATCGTGGTATAGATGATGGAAAAGATGTACCTGAGGATTACTTGCGATCTTTGTATGAAAGGATAACGAGGAATGAGATAAAGATGAAAGAAGATGATTTGTCTCTACAACAGAGGCAGTCTACCAACTCGAACAGATTGCTGGGTTTGGATGGTATACTGAACATAGTGATTCGAAAGCGGGGTGAGGTTTCTGTGGAGTCAAGTGATGAACTTATTAGGAACATGCAAGAGCAGTTTAAAGAGAAAGCTCGCAAATCTGAGTAAGATCACTTGCTTTTCCATTGCTTAGTAGTTAGTATTCTTCAATTTCTTCTTCTTGTAATGTTTAATATTCCTATGTGGGGCATAATCCGTCATTTCCATGTGGTCTTCTCCTGAGCTGTTCCATATTTTAGGCATCTGTAAGCTTATTACACTACATTTGAACTCATCCTTGCGTTTACAGATCCGCTTACTACGCTGCAACAGACATTGTTATCCTCAGATTTATGGTCGAGGCATGCTGGGCCCCAATGCTTGTGGCCTTCAGTGTGCCTCTGGAACAGAGCGATGATGAGACAGTGATTAACTTATGTCTTGAAGGCTTCCACTACGCCATCCATGTCACTTCTGTAATGTCCATGAAGACCCACAGAGATGCCTTTGTGACTTCACTAGCGAAGTTCACTTCCCTTCACTCTCCTGCTGATATCAAACAGAGAAATATTGAAGCCATTAAGGTTGGTATTTTGCCTGCATCTCCTAATTTTGATGTGATTAATTTTTTCATACACCCTTTTCTGTGCTAAAACAGCATGCTATTTATGTTGGATGTCTTAAGTAGTTTGCTGTCTATTTCCCAAATGTTTTTAAATTGTGGATGATCACTCTTTCTCTCTATGCCTTTTTCTCTGTGTTCTTATCTAGATACCAATTCGGGTTGGTTATTTTTCAGGCGATTGTCAGGCTTGCTGATGAAGAGGGTAATTACTTGCAAGATGCCTGGGAGCATATACTAACTTGTGTTTCTCGATTTGAGCACCTTCATCTCTTGGGAGAAGGTGCTCCTCCAGATGCAACTTTCTTTGCTTTTAAGCAAAACGAGTCGGAGAAATCAAAACAGTCCAAACCGAATATTCTTCCTGTTCTGAAAAAGAAAGGACCTGCAAAGAGTCATGCGGGTTCAGGTGTCTTGAGGGGTTCATATGATAGTACGAGTCTTGGCGGAAGAAAGGGTTCTGGCACAGTGAGACCTGAACAAATGAACAGTATTGTTTCCAGTCTAAATTTGTTGGAACAGGTTGGCGATATGAATCGAATATTTGTTCGAAGTCAGAAACTGAACAGTGAAGCTATAATCGATTTTGTTAAAGCTCTCTGCAAAGTTTCTATGGATGAATTGCGGTCTCCATCTGATCCACGCGTTTTTAGTCTCACAAAGATCGTGGAGATAGCGTAAGAATCTCTTACTTGTCTTTGTTTCTTTTCTTTCATCTGCTTCATCGAACACACACACACACATATATATATGCTGTTATTTGTAAATTTAATCACATTATAGGGTTGTTTCTATTTGAAATTGGTGGCAGGCACTATAACATGAACCGTATAAGGCTTGTCTGGTCAAGCATCTGGCATGTGCTGTCGGATTTCTTTGTGACGATTGGATGTTCAGAGAACCTCTCAATTGCAATTTTTGCCATGGATTCTTTACGGCAATTATCAATGAAATTCTTGGAGCGGGAAGAGTTGGCTAATTACAACTTTCAGAATGAATTTATGAAGCCCTTTGTCATCGTTATGCGTAAAAGCGATGCTGTTGAGATCAGAGAGCTTATCATCAGATGTGTTTCTCAGATGGTGTTATCACGTGTAAATAATGTGAAGTCAGGATGGAAGAGCATGTTCATGGTATCTAATCCAAATTGTTTTTTCGTTATTAACCATGATGATTCATGAACCTTTTGGATTTATTGACATTTCCTTGTAATATTTTGCAGGTTTTTACAGCAGCAGCTTATGATGACCATAAAAACATTGTTCTGTTGGCGTTTGAGATTATCGAGAAGATAATTCGAGACTACTTCCCATACATCACTGAAACGGAGACAACCACCTTCACGGATTGCGTTAATTGCCTGGTTGCATTCACTAATAGCAGATTCAACAAGGATATAAGTCTCAGTGCCATTGCTTTCCTTCGGTATTGTGCAGCAAAACTCGCCGAAGGAGATCTTGGGTCATCGCCAAAGCACAAGGACGGGGAAACCTCAGGAAAGATTCCTTCATCATCTCCTCACTCTGGAAAAAGCAGTGAAAGTGGGGAGGTTGTTCACAAGGATGACCATTTGTACTTTTGGTTTCCGTTACTGGCCGGTAAAGTTATACAATATGTACATATTCTTTCTGAAGACGGTCCAGTCCTGCAAAAGCTTTAATGTGATTCACCTTTTAATGTGCAGGTTTATCAGAGCTTAGTTTTGACCCAAGACCAGAAATCAGGAAGAGGGCACTAAAGATTCTGTTTGAGACTTTACGCAATCACGGTCACCTTTTCTCTCTACCCTTGTGGGAAAAAGTGTTTGACTCAGTATTATTTCCGATATTCGACTATGTCCGGCATGCTATTGATCCTTCTGGTGAGGATGAAACTGCTGACGATCATGGAAATTACGGTGATAATGATATGGGTGGCCTTGACCATGATGCATGGCTCTACGAGACATGCACATTAGCCCTACAGCTCGTAGTGGATCTTTTCGTCAAATTCTACATAACCGTGAGTCCACTTCTGAGAAAGGTGTTGACGCTTCTTGTAAGTTTCATCAAGCGACCTCACCAGAGCCTTGCAGGCATCGGAATTGCTGCATTTGTCCGGCTGATGAGTGATGCCGGTGATTTGTTCTCGGAAGATAAGTGGCTACAGGTAGTGTCCTCTTTGAAAGAAGGAGCGAAAGCTACATGCCCGGATTTCTCTTACTTTCTCAGAGAAGAATACGTAGAGAAAAATCCGAGCATCGTTAGAAGCTCTGCAGAATCTTCTGCTCATCCAGCTGGAGTGGATGATGATGAAGAAGAGAGCCAGAGAACAATCCGTCTCTATGCTGCCATAGCTGATGCTAAGTGCCGAGCTGCTGTTCAGCTTTTGCTTATCCAGGTGACTCCTCTTTATCTTATGTTATACTGATGATCATGAATTCGGGATCTTAATCTATAGTTGAAAATGTTATATTATCAGGCTGTGATGGAGATTTACAACATGTACCGACCTCGCCTTTCGACAAAAAACACATTGGTGCTCTTTGACGCGATGCACGGGGTGGCGTTGAATGCTCAAAGTGTAAACAGCAACTCCGTGCTACGTTCCAGGCTTCAAGAGCTTGGTTCCATGACCCAGATGCAGGACCCTCCATTGCTTCGCCTCGAAAACGAGTCGTATCAAATCTGTCTCACCTTCTTACAGAACATCCTCGTAGGTTGCAGAGACGCCGAAGTAGAATCCCTCCTCGTCAACATCTGTCAAGAAGTACTCCAATTCTACATCGAGACTTCTTCGTCCAGAAAGCGGCCATCACCATCACCATCATCATCATCATCATCATGCCATTGGAGGATACCTCTAGGTACAGGGAGACGACGGGAATTAGCAGCAAGGGCGCCTCTCGTGGTGGCGACCCTCCAAGCGATATCTGGGCTCGGAGATTCATCGTTCGAGAAGAGCCTGGAAAATTTGTTTCCTCTTCTGTCTAACTTGATAAGCTGCGAGCACGGCTCGAACGACGTCCAGGTCGCTCTTGGCGACATGCTCGGGTTATCGGTCGGTCCGATATTGCTCCATTCGCTCTGATTATATGGCTCCTTTCTCCACAGTTTTTAAGGGTACATTATTCTATATTTCCATCTCCTTTTGGTTGTAAAAGTAGAGTTCATATTATAAATGGTAAGGTAGGTGTAGCGGGTTGACATGATAGAGCCTTTTGCTGTTACAGTGCTTCCTGAAGTTGAATACCCTCCCCCCCAAAAAGCATGAGTGAGTTTTTTTCGTTCTCAGCCCAGTAATGTCCTCTCCCTCGGCCCACGATCACTTTGTTTAATGGGCCCAATGGGCTTCTATTATATGGCGGCCTTTGGTCGGCTTCTTCAATTTATTGACCTTATTTCTTTCCAGTTTTCCTTTTTCAGAAAAAAAAATATATCATTTTAGGGTTTCAACTCGAATAACAAAAGGAGGGAGAGAGAATGAAGAAAATCACATATAGATCATCATGCGTGGATAAATTTCAGGATGACATTGCGTCCACTGGGTGCAATGCAAGATTCAGAAGAACGAGGTAAACTTCACGTGCTAAAACCGTGGAAACGTAGAAAACAAAGAGAAAGCGATGCGGTAAATTAAATTAATCTTTAAATAATAGCACTTACTGGTCATATATTGAGATTTAATTATTACAAAATCTCTATTCAAATTTCTTTTCATTTCAAATAATAATCTCTCATTATAGGTAGCTTTAATTATTATCTATTTTTCCTAATTTTGATTGAGACTTATACACATGTATATTAATTTGTTAGGGAAGATAAGGGGGTTTGGTTTGGTGTGCTTAATTAATTGGTGAAGACTTCGCCCACTTCATTAATGATATATATATATATTATGATAAGCTAGAAAGAAAGCGATAATGATTAATGTTATCAATATCATCATCTAATTAAAGGGGTGACTATATGTATGTCTTTTATGTTTCTTCTGGATATTAATCCAATATATAGATCCAATACATTTGTCTCTAGTCCTAGGATTCGAAATTTGATGGGTACGGACCTTAAACCAAAGTTCCTTTTTCTGCGTTTTCAATTATTTAAATATTGTTCGACGAAGAAATCACATTACATATTTTTTTTGGTAACCCAGGTACAAAAATCCAGACTAATCCCGAAACCGGAAACCAGTAGGGTGATTTGGAATATATCCTCTCTTCTTTCAAACTTGAAATTCGAACTGAGAACGAGACAGACGTTTTGCATCCTCGTTTCACCGGTTGTACTATCTAAATCTGTGTCACATTACACATATTGACCTCTGATCGATGCAAAATTTATGCATCGTCAAATGTGGCTCATCGTTTATAAGTTATTCCCAACATTAAAAGTATGCATGATGGCCAAATCCTACAAAAAAAAATATAATAAGACCTTTTTTTATGGAAATTAAATATCAAATTCCAAATACTTGGTGGTGCATAACTTCAAATGTCTCTTCGACGAATCGTTATGTACATTAGCGTACGTTAGGCCACGGAGAAGCAGAGCCACATGGCCTCTGCTAATTGGTTCGACCCAACCCCATAGTGACAAATGAATACAAAATAGTTACTCGGTCCGATCACGCGGATACATCTCGGGTCGGGTCGGGTCGGGTCGTGAGGTGGGTGGGTGGGTCTTATAAGTGTTAGCGAAAAGGTAGGGGGATGAATCACGCCCCATACGCCTTGGTTTCCCAGTCAACGTGCACTCTCTCTCCTTCCTATGTGGTCAAACACATTATATATATATATAGCTGCCATTTTGCATATGCGTACGTTTCAATATCTTTCATGTTATTCAATCCCTTAGGTAAATTAATTTACACGGAAACGAAATCGCGAGTGGATCGATCAAAGGATTGATTTATTCTGTGGATCATTCATTTTTCCAACTACGTTTCAAATACAAATGATATATATATATATATATAGTGACAATCTTGATGTGGGATTATGTGTGTGTATATATATGAATGATTTGAAACAAGAGAAACAAACGAGCAACGAAACTGAAGTGTGATTTGACGTGAGGTGTCCGAAATGTACTTTGGAAGGACGGGAACTACTCGCAGGATTTTGACAAGACATTTCACATTCGGGGTTCATAAGATTTCTTTTTTTTTTTTTTTGTGTCAGCATTTTTTGTAAATTCCTTTTCTTTTTATTGGCAAATAAAGTAACAAACAATGACAAAATTATCGCATTCTACAACATCGACATGACCCAAAAAAAAAAAGTTTTCCTTCACGGGGTAAATAAAAAAAAAATCACCGTCGGTGGAATATTCCGTGACGTGAAAGCCACATCACGCGACAAACATCCAACTGTCAACCATGGTCTGTCTATCGTAAAAAAAGGTTTAAAAAATGTAGAATAATAAATATTTTAAAATACGGTAAAACTCCTAAAAAACTTTTAACTTGCAAAAATATATACAAATAAATTTTCAACTTAAAAAACTATTATTCAATCCCCGAACTTGTAACTTATCACTGAATAAAACCTCGAACTTGTAAATTATTGCTCTAATAAATATTTGACCGGTTTGACCATAATTTCAAACGATCGGAAATTCATGTATTGACGGATTGCTGATGTCATTTTTTAAACTAAAATTGATAACATGTATAAGGTGACATCAGCAATCCGTTAATACGTGGATTTTCGTTCGCTTGAAATTGTGGTCAAACCGGTCAAATGTTTATTAGAGCAATAATTTGCAAGTTCGAAGTTTTATTCAGTGACAAGTTACAAGTTCGGGGATTGAATGATAGTTTTTCAAGTTTAAGGTTTATTTGTGTATATTTTTACAAATTTGAGGTTTTTTAAAAGTTTTACCCTATTTTAAAATATAAAAAATAATCTAAAACTATAAATACTTTCGACGAAAGGAGTAATATAGTTTCGAAGCGGATAAAGACACGGAAAACCGAACTGGTGATATTAATGCGAATTTTTTTTTCTCC